AGAGCTCCGCTGGCTGACCTTCTTGCTCACAGACTTAGGTGAGCGGCCTAGCTCTGCCCCGGTCCTGTACGCTGACAACAGGGCCATGATACTCCTGTGTCAGGAGCCTCGACTTGAGGGCAGAGCGAAGCACATTCAGCTGCGGTACTTCCTCCTGCGCGAGCTACATCAGCGCCGCCAGGCCCGCGTAGTTCACTTGGTCTCTGGTGCCAACACAGCTGATATCTTTACGAAGGCGCTTGCGCCTAAAGATCATCAGCGGCACTGTGTACAGCTCGGTCTAGTTCCTGTAGCCTCTCACTTGCTAGGACCTTGACTTTGTACTGTCCTATATATATCTACAGTGGCGGATTAAATTGCCCGGATGTTTAACACTTTGAAACAGCACGCTATGCCACACATGTTTTGAAAATAGTAACACCCGGTTTTTTCCATTCCGTTACAAGGTTTCCGAGTTCTGCTTCAACCGTTTCTTGCTTGGCGCAATTGTGTCACAACCTGAAAGTGGGGTTGAAATTTACTCCTCGACAGTCGATGCGGACATTTCCAACCGAGCGGAAGAGTAGATCTATTTTCCCCCGTCACTCAGTGTGTGCATCGTAACGCGCAATAGTTGCTGGCTTAAGAGTTAGTCCGGAAGCGAGCCTACGACCGCATCGCCATGAAGCCGTTAACTGAGCGGAAACGCGCGCGAATCAGAAGCATGTTGCGTGCGGGCCATTCGACTAGGAAAATAGGCAAAGTTCTTGGAATAGGCAAGAGCACTGTGCACGATTACAGTTTGAAAGTGGCTGCCGAGACTAGTCTCGAGGAGGTGCGACCTACGATGCCTTCGGCCGGCCGCCCCCGCTTAATCACTACCCGTCTCCAGCGCGGAATAGTATGCGCGATCACAAGCGGCGAGGCGAAAAGCTCTGTAGAAGCGGCAAATATGTTGTTGGAGAAGCACGGTCTCGCCGTAGACTCGAAGACGGTCCGGAACTCATTACGATCCGCGGGGCTGATCGCCGTGCATCAGCCCAAGAAACCCAGGCTCTCACCGAAAAACATCCGAGATCGTCTCGACTTCGCGCGGTCGCATGCCGACTGGACGCTGGAGGACTGGAAGCGGGTGATTTGGTCTGACGAGACAAAGATAAACCGCTACTGCTCCGACGGACGTGCATACGCCTGGATTCGCGAGGGCACCAGCCTTCGGAGCCATCAAGTCCAACAGACAGTTAAGCATGGGGGCGGTTCTGTGATGGTGTGGGGTTGCATGACGTATGAGGGGGCGGGTTTCATGTGCAAGATAGATGGCAGGATCGATGGGCCGCTGTATCGCAGCATCTTGCAAGATGAGCTCCTTTTGACTGGTCTTTAGACCCTTGTCTCAGTGGCTGGACTAGTAGTGCCGCCCTGAGCTGCTTGTTCAGGATTTGCCCATATGCAGTCTAGGGGGTGTGTCAAATATATGTATAACTCATATTTGTATAGACTGTATAGGGTCACCGTGGTCCCCCGGTTACTCCCCCCCTTTTCCTGGTTCCTCCCTCCCTGGTGGTCCCTGCCCCTCCCCCCCCCCGCCCCCCGTCCGGCCCCCTCTGGTGTGTCTCACGTCACCCCCCTCCCGTCGGTCGTCCCGGTCGACGAGTCTTCTGACTCTGGTAGTCCTCCGGCGCAGTCCTCGCCGTCTGTCCCTCCCCCGGTGTCTCCTCCTCCACCGCCTCCGCAGCCGCCGTCGCCGCAGCTGCTGCAGCCGTCGTCTCCACCGCCGCCGCCGTTGCAGCCGTCGTCTCCGCCGCCGCCGCCGTCGCCGCCGTCGCTGCAGCCGCCGCCGCCGCCGCCGCCGTCGTCGCTGCCGCCGTTTGTGGACTCTGGGGGTGTCCCTTCTGGGGGTGCAGGTGTGGAGGGTTCGGGAGGTAGCCGTCGCGCAGCTTGTGGCCCTGGTGTTGGTGTTGTGTCGCCGCAGCAGCAGTCCCCGCCTGTGTCCGCCCTCCGTCTGCTCGGCCTTCCGTCTCCTGACCCTGCGCCTGTTCCTCTCCTGCCGTCTCCCCCTCTTCCCGTCTACGGCCCCGTGTTCCCTCTGCCAGACTCGTCCCCGGCTCGTCTTCCCCCTCGTTCCCCTCCTGTGTCCCCTCCTCTGTCTCCTGACCCGACGCCGCCCTCACACGTCTGGTCTCGCCGCCCCTCTCGTGCTCGTCCTGTCTCCCCTGTCCCGCGCTCTCACCCTATGTTGCTCCGTTCCCACGCGTCTCGACCTCCCCTCCTCCCGTCTCCTCCTCCGTCTTCTCTTGTCGTTGCGTCTCCTCCTCTGTCCGACTCCTTTCGTGCCGCTCGTCCTCTTGTTCCTCGGGTCCTTGCCTCTCTCGTTACCGACCCGTCTGTTCCCGTGTCGAGTCTTGACGCCCTCGTCGCTGCGGTCGCTGACTTCGCCTCTACCCGCCGCCTTGACTACGCCACCGCTCTGGTCTCTCACCCTGCCTGTCCTCCGTCTGTCGGGGGTGCTCCTGCCCTCGGCAGTGACGTCCTGGAGGACCGCCAGTTTGAGCTTGCTTTCCTGTCCGAGGCTGCTCCCCATCTCTGTTCCATGCTGCTAGTCCCTGAGGGTGACCCAGACGCTTTCGACATCCCGACCCCTCGTACTTACGCTGAGGCGGTTTCGGGACCCTGGGCCTCTCAGTGGATAGCTGCCATGGAGCAGGAGATGGCATCTTGGAGATCCACCGGCACCTTCGTCGACGCAGTTCCCCCACCTGGGGTGAACGTGGTCGATGGCCGTTGGCTCTTCAAGGTGAAGCGCCCTCCTGGAGAGCCGCCTGTGTTCAAGGCGCGTTACGTGGCTAGAGGCTTCAGTCAGCGCGAGGGGGTGGACTTCTTTCAGACTTTCGCTCCTACCCCGAAGATGACTACTCTTCGGGTGCTGCTACACGTAGCGGCTCAGCGTGACTACGAGCTTCACTCCCTCGACTTCTCCACTGCCTTTCTTCAGGGCAGCCTTCACGAGCAGGTCTACCTGCGTCGCCCTCAGGGCTTTACTGGCACCTTCCCCCCTGGGACCCAGTGGCTTCTGCGGCGGCCAGTCTACGGCCTGCGCCAGGCGCCTCGTGAGTGGCACGACACTTTGCGTGCTACCCTTGCTGACCTGCAGTTCTTTCCGTCCTCTGCAGACCCCTCGCTCTTCGTTCGTGCTGGCTCGACTCCGTTCTACATCCTCGTCTACGTAGACGACCTGGTCTTTGCCACTGCTGACAGGGACGCACTGGCCTCCGTGAAGGCAGAGCTGCTGAAGAGACACACCTGCACTGACCTTGGAGAGCTGCGCCGTTACCTTGGCTTGCAGATCTCCAGGGACAGAGCCGCGCGCACCATCACCCTGACTCAGTCACACTTGGTGCGCCAGGTCCTTCAGAGGTTCGGCCTTCAGTTCTCCTCCGCACAGCCCACCCCTCTTCCTCTGGACCACAGACTCTCCGCTCCAGTTCCTGAGGAGTCGGTAGATCCCAGTGGTCCTTACGCTGAGCTAGTGGGTTGCCTCATGTACCTGATGACTTGCACTCGCCCAGATCTCGCATACCCTCTCAGCATCCTGGCTCGTTTCGTGGCCACAGGCAGGCACCGACCTCAGCACTGGTCTGCCGCTAAGAGGGTTTTGCGTTATCTTGCAAGTACATCGGGCATGGGGTTAGTGCTAGGCGGACGCAGGCCAGTGGTCCTTACTGGACACACGGACGCTTCTTGGGCAGACGACGCCGAGACGCTCAGGTCTTCCCAGGGCTACTGCTTTAGCCTTGGTTCAGGTGTTGTCTCGTGGAGAGCTACCCGCTCTTCGTCTGTTGCCCAGTCCAGCTGTGAGGCCGAGATCTACGCCGGTGCCATGGCGGCACAGGAGCTCCGCTGGCTGACCTTCTTGCTCACTGACTTAGGTGAGCGGCCTAGCTCTGCCCCGGTCCTGTACGCTGACAACAGGGCCATGATCCTCCTGTGTCAGGAGCCTCGACTCGAGGGCAGAGCGAAGCACATCCAGCTGCGGTACTTCCTCCTGCGTGAGCTACAGCAGCGTCGCCAGGCTCGCGTAGTACACTTAGCCTCCGGTGCCAACACAGCTGATATCTTTACGAAGGCGCTTGCGCCTAAAGATCATCAGCGGCACTGTTTACAGCTTGGTCTGGTTCCTGTAGTCTCTCACTTACTCGGGCCTTGACTCTGTACTGTCCTATATATCTGTGTGTACACTCAGACTGGACTTGTGTCCTCTTACAGTGGTTGGACTAGTAGTGCCGCCCTGTACTAGTTCTTGCCTTGCCTGTACTCCTTCTGACTGGTCTTTTAGACCCTTGTCTCAGAGGCTGGACTAGTAGTGCCACCCTGAGCTGCTTGTCTAGAACATTCCCCTATGCAGTCCAGGGGGTGTGTCAAACATGTTTAGTTATCATGCTTGTATAGACTGTATAGGGTCATCTTCTAGAGAGTACAACAGTTAGGTATATGTTTGTGTACTCTCTCTCTCTATTCATCAATTTCACTGTTTGATAGGTACAACACTCTTAGGTATATACCCTTGTTCTCTCTCTCTCTCTATTCAACACTTGTTCAGTTTTCTTCTCGACATGGACTTCTTTCAGACCTTCGCCTCGACCGCGAAGATGACTGCTCTTCAGGCATTGCCCCTATATAGTCTAGGGGGTGTGTCAAACATAACTTATGCAGTTACTGTAGACTATATGTGTTTGTGCCTTAGTGAGTACAACTCACTAATCTATACTGCCTTGTATCTCCCCATTCTATTCATTCATTCTGATAATCTCTTGTGTGGGGCACTTAGCCGGAAAAACTAGGCATTCTAGGGGTGTGGGGGGAATGTATCTGGCAGTCGAGGACGAGGGGGGAATGTATCTAGGTTGTGGGGGGGGAGGGGGGAGGGATGGGTGGGCGAAGTGGAATGTCTAGTCTCAAGATGTATTTTTTCACGTTATCTCAATTCTCAGACGAAAGTCTACACCTGGTCTGAACTTTCAGGCGTAATCTTATGGCTTATGTGGACGACCAGACGAATTAATTTAGCCCGTAAAAGAATCAGATGAAAGGAAAAAAACAGGTCTGACTTTCAGACCATCAGACCGATTTCGTCTAATATCTGAGACCCTAGTTGTAATGCCATAGCAGGCTGCAGCAAGTCTCCCCACCCGCACTGCAGCTATGACCTCCCTTTTGGATCTTTTCCTCTACCCATGAGCACATCTGTCGTGATCATAGCGCCACGCCGCCAGGAGTAACCCAACCATCCAAAAATGCCATTGGAAGGATCAGACCATAGAGGCTTCTTGTTCCATCTGCACATAGAAGTCATGAACATATTTCACACGATGTAAAGAGATAAAAATACAGAAGAAACATCTTGTACCCAACTTAGCATAAAACCTCTTCTGATTTATGACAAGAAAATAAGATTAACTGTATAGAGTATGAGATGAACTCACAGATCTTCATGGTGAACCACCTTCCCTCCTTCAACCTGCAACAAAAGACAATGAAAGCATGTGTGGAGCGTCAGCTGCCAGCCACGTGGGACACCTTACACGCTCAGCTGGCAGCATGGAAGATGTGATGCCAGTGATGTGTTATCTTGTGATGTCACTGATGTGTTATCGTCATTGACACCTTGAGTTGGATCCTTGAGTCGACATCGAAGGGCCTGCCCCAGACCTTGTAATTCTGCTTATTGTCCATGACCACCTGCCAGTCACCACATCACCAACCAATGAGCATGCTCGCAATGTGCTGAAATAAACATTCTGCCTTCATTCCAGACCCACGAGGTCATTGACTGCCATAGAAAATCCGATATCTATCACTGCCCATTCAATTCAGAATGACACCACGTATCAACTTACTAGACCTGAGCCTTCTCCTGTTGATGTCTCCTCTATAGAGTACTCCACGATTCTCCCTTCTTGAAAAAGCTGAGAATAATTCCAAACAATGCTTATCGAACGATGGATCACCACTAGTAGAAACAAGAAACACATGAAGATCAGCATGAGATGAGAGAGAGCTGACCCACCACTTGCATGGAGTAAAAGGCTGACTTGATCTGATTCAACCTAACAGAGTAGCACACAAAACCAGGAAATAAATATACAGTCAAATCGCTCAAGAAACGGAGTGTGTGCAGTTGAAGTGCAAGAGAGAGTACATACCCATGAGCTGACATAAGGGGATCGTCGAACCTCGCATCCGGAGAGTAAAATTCAAAATCCTCAGCTCTTGCCGAGCAGCCATAGCTGCCAACGTGCGAGCGAGCAGACAATTCAAGGTCAGTCGAGAAAACAAAGGAGAAACAACAAGAGAAGCAACAAGCAGCTGTCGCTCCTTACAGCTTGAAGAGGTGGGGAAGTATCTTGGAGGATAAGGGTCCCAATTCTGGATTAGCAGATAGATTGCGAGGAGGTAGGACAGCGGAACTGGGGGTTTCCATCGTTGACGTCATCGCTGACGCTTAGTAGACGAGAACCGCAGGAGAGTAGACGAGACGGATGATAGGAACCTCACGAGCTCGGAAGAACCAGTGGAGCAGAGGAGCAGCGAAGCGCGGAATCGACACGGGAAGCAGCGGGCACCGTAGATTCAGGAGCCGACGCGGGGTCACCTGAAATAGCCAAGAAGAATGACTCACCGCTAGGGGAAAATTGGCGCAAACACAAGAAGGTTCTACTAGCGCAGGAGGTTTACGTACACGCGAATCGGACGCTGAGCAATGCACGGTATTTCGACTGCGTATGGCTGTGTGAAAGCTTCCGTGCTTGAAGGACAATGACGCAGCTAAGGAAGCGTAAGTAAGTCTGCACAGCAAGACGCGAGCTGCGAGTGGGACATCAGTTCATCAGCAAGCCAGCGTCAGTTGTGCTGGCAACGCAGCGGAATTCACGGCAATGGCTCGCATGCGTCACACAGTGAGCTTCAACGAAGCACAAGCAGATTCCTCTCTATAGAGAGCTCCACACGTTTAGACAGTTGGGTCCAATCCAACTTCACAACATGGTCCTCTATTTCACAATGGAATTAAAGCAACGCGAACTCACATCTAACCTGAAATTTCTCCCTCCATGCGAGGAGCACTGAAACCCATGTGGTGCATTTCATTGCGTTAGAAATGACCTTGATAGCTCCATTTTCCACGAAGATCAAGGTTACCCCTGGTGCACAACTGCCAGCTTTGGTTTGTGGGAGAGCGGTACTTTATATTAAACCTAGAATTGAATAATGTGAGAGAGAGAGTACACAAACATATACCTAAATGTTGTACTCTCTAGAAGGTGACCCTATACAGTCTATACAAACATGATAACTACACATGTTTGACACACCCCCTGGACTGCATAGGGGAATGTTCTAGACAAGTAGCTCAGGGTGGCACTACTAGTCCAGCCTCTGAGACAAGGGTCTAAAAGACCAGTCAGAAGGAGTACAGACAAGGCAAGAACGAGTACAGGGCGGCACTACTAGTCCAACCACTGTGAGAGGACACAAGTCCAGTCTGAGTGTATACATATATATATATACGACAGTACAAAGTCAAGGCCCGAGTAAGTGAGAGACTACAGGAACCAGACCAAGCTGTAAACAGTGCCGCTGATGATCTTTAGGCGCAAGCGCCTTCGTAAAGATATCAGCTGTGTTGGCACCGGAGGCCAAGTGTACTACGCGAGCCTGGCGCCGCTGCTGTAGCTCGCGCAGGAGGAAGTACCGCAGCTGGATGTGCTTCGCTCTGCCCTCGAGTCGAGGCTCCTGACACAGGAGAATCATGGCCCTATTGTCAGCGTACAGGACCGGGGCAGAGCTAGGCCGCTCACCTAAGTCAGTGAGCAAGAAGGTCAGCCAGCGGAGCTCCTGTGCCGCCATGGCACCGGCGTAGATCTCAGCCTCACAGCTGGACTGGGCAACCGACGAGGAGCGGGTAGCTCTCCACGAGACAGCACCTGAGCCAAGGCTAAAGCAGTAGCCCTGGGAAGACCTGAGCGTCTCGGCGTCGTCTGCCCAAGAAGCGTCTGTGTGTCCAGTAAGGACCACTGGCCTGCGTCCGCCTAGCACTAACCCCATGCCCGATGTACTTGCAAGATAACGCAAAACCCTCTTAGCGGCAGACCAGTGCTGAGGTCGGTGTCTGCCTGTGGCCACAAAACGAGCCAGGATGCTGAGAGGGTATGCGAGATCTGGGCGAGTGCAAGTCATCAGGTACATGAGGCAACCCACTAGCTCAGCGTAAGGACCACTGGGATCTACCGACTCCTCAGGAACTGGAGCGGAGAGTCTGTGGTCCAGAGGAAGAGGGGTGGGCTGTGCGGAGGAGAACTGAAGGCCGAACCTCTGAAGGACCTGGCGCACCAAGTGTGACTGAGTCAAGGTGATGGTGCGCGCGGCTCTGTCCCTGGAGATCTGCAAGCCAAGGTAACGGCGCAGCTCTCCAAGGTCAGTGCAGGTGTGTCTCTTCAGCAGCTCTGCCTTCACGGAGGCCAGTGCGTCCCTGTCAGCTGTGGCAAAGACCAGGTCGTCTACGTAGACGAGGATGTAGAACGGAGTCGAGCCAGCACGAACGAAGAGCGAGGGGTCTGCAGAGGACGGAAAGAACTGCAGGTCAGCAAGAGTAGCACGCAGCGTGTCGTGCCACTCACGAGGCGCCTGGCGCAGGCCGTAGACTGGGCGCCGCAGAAGCCACTGGGTCCCAAGGGGGAAGGTGCCAGTAAAGCCCTGAGGACGACGCAGGTAGACCTGCTCGTGAAGGCTGCCCTGAAGAAAGGCAGTGGAGAAGTCGAGGGAGTGAAGCTCGTAGTCACGCTGAGCCGCTACGTGTAGCAGAACCCGAAGAGTAGTCATCTTCGGGGTAGGAGCGAAAGTCTGAAAGAAGTCCACCCCCTCGCGCTGACTGAAGCCTCTAGCCACGTAACGCGCCTTGAACACAGGCGGCTCTCCACGAGGGCGCTTCACCTTGAAAAGCCAATGGCCATCGACCACGTTCACCCCAGGTGGGGGAACTGCGTCGACGAAGGTGCCGGTGGATCTCCAAGATGCCATCTCCTGCTCCATGGCAGCTATCCACTGAGAGGCCCAAGGTCCCGAAACCGCCTCAGCGTAAGTACGAGGGGTCGGGATGTCAAAAGCGTCTGGGTCACCCTCAGGGACTAGCAGCATGGAATAGAGATGGGGAGCAGCCTCGGACAGGAAAGCAAGCTCGAACTGGCGGTCCTCCAGGACGTCACTGCCGAGGGCAGGAGCACCCCCGACAGACGGAGGACAGGCAGGGTCAGAGACCAGAGCGGAGGCGTAGTCAAGGCGGCGGGTAGAGGCGAAGTCAGCGACCGCAGCGACAAGAGCGTCAAGACTCGACACTGGAACAGACGGGTCGGTAACGAGAGAGGCAAGGACCCGAGGAACAAGAGGACGAGCGGCACGAAAGTAGTCAGACAGAGGAGGAGACGCAACGACAAGAGAGGACGGAGGAGGAGACGGGAGGAGGGGAGGACGAGACGCGTGGGAGCGGAGCAACATAGGGTGAGTGCGCGGGACGGGGGAGACAGGACGAGCACGGGAGGGGCGGCGAGACCAGACGTGAGAGGGCGGCGTCGGGTCAGGAGACAGAGGAGGGGACATGGGTGGAGAACGAGGGGGAAAACGAGCCGGGGACGAGCCCGGCGGAGGGAACACAGGGCCGTAGACGGGAAGAGGGGGAGACGGCCGGGGAGGAACAGGCGCAGGGTCAGGGGACGGAAGGCCGAGCAGACGGAGGGCGGACACCGGCGGGGACTGCTGCTGCGGCGACACAACACCAACGCCAGGGCCACAAGCTGCGCGACGGCTACCTCCCGAACCCTCCACACCGGCACACCCAGAAGGGACACCACCAGAGCCCGAAACACCGCCAGCACCGGTACCACCCCCAGGCCCGCCGGGACAAGCCACGACAGGAGCCCCGGGACTAGTACCCACCTCAACTCCAGCACCCCCAGAGTCCACAAACAGCGGCAGCGACGACGGCGGCGGCGGCGGCGGCGGCTGCAGCGACGGCCTCGACGGCGGCGGCGGCGGAGACGACGGCTGCAGCAGCTGCGGCGACGGCGGCTGCGGAGGCGGTGGAGGAGGAGACACCGGGGGAGGGACAGACGGCGAGGACTGCGCCAAAGGACTACCAGAGTCAGAAGACTCGTCGACCGGAACGACCGACGGGAGGGGGGTCACGTGAGACACACCAGAGGGGGCCGGACGGGGGGGCGGGGGGGGGGAGGGGCAGGGGCCACCAGGGAGGGAGGAACCAGGAACAGGGGGGGAGTAACCGGGGGACCACGGTGGGGAAAGCGGCGGAAGAAGGAGACGGACTCGTCAAAGGTGACGTCGCGAGAGTGAAAGAAACGGTGAGACGGCGGGTGGTAGAAGTGCCAGTCGGACGCGTCAAGGGGGAAACCGAGGAAGACGCAGGGGAGGGTGCGGGCAGTGAGCTTGTCCGTGCCAGAGGCACGAACGTGAGCAAGGCAGCCCCAGACGTGGAACGCAGACGCGTCACCAGGGGACCCGGTCCACAGAAGGGTCGGCGAAACCTGCGGCCGCTGGGGGTGCGGCCACAGGTTAAGCTGGTGAGCGGCGTAGCGCACGGCGAACGGCCACAGAAAATGGGGTGCACCGGCGTGGATCATGGAGGTGCGAGCCACCTCCATGACCAAACCGATGCGTCGCTCAGCGACCCCATTCTGCTGCGGGGAGTCCGGCAGGGTAAACGTCTGGGTGATGCCCTCCGCACGACAGAAGCGACCAAGGACACCTGAGGCGAACTCGCCACCCCGGTCGGAGTGGAGGCGCAAGGCAGGGAGACCGCGGTGGAGACGAGCAGAGACAAGCCAGGGGATGAGAACGTCAGGCACGTCGGCCTTCCGCTCCAGGGGAAAGACGGTGGTGTAACGGGTGAAGTCGTCGACAAGCACTAGGAAGAAGCGCTCGCGACGCGGCCCATGGACCGGGGCTGGGCCCCAGACGTCCATGTGCAGAGTCTGCAGGGGTGCGGTGGTAGGGGGAAAAGAGGAGGAGTGAGGGGCACGGCGGAGCCGGCCCTCGACACAAGGCGTGCACGGTGGGGCGGGGGAGGAGGGAAACTCAGGGAACGAACCGGGGAGACCAAGGACGAGACCGTGCTGGGACATGTGACGCAGACGCGGGAGTGCAGGGTGACCAAGGCGGTGGTGCCAAAGGAGAGTCGGATGAGTGAGGGACCGACAGGAGCACGCAGCAGCAACCTGGGTGGACGCAGCTACCTGGGGGGAAGACCCAGCCGGGGACGTCGCGGTGTCAAGTGTGAACAGGCCGGACACCGGGTCCCGGGGGAAAGTGGTAAGGGGGGCACCAGTGGCGGCCTCGGTACAGACAGCATACCGCTCGTGACCAGGGAACGTAGTGGTGACGCCAAGGTCCTGGAGGCAGCCGACACCAACTAGGTTCCTGGAGAACGAGGGGATATGCAGACCGGTGAGCGAACCTGAAGGAACCGCCGGACAGGGAAGGGAGGTGGAACTGCGGGCAAAGACGGGACCACCGGAGGGGTCAGCAAGAGTAACTGCAGCAGGAACAGGCAGCGGCGTCAGCGTCGTGGAGTCGCGGAAGAAACACCGGGAGGCGCCAGAGTCCAAGGTGAAGGAAAACGCAGCAGTCGCGCGGGGCGACAGTGAAGCGGTGGAAGCACCGAGGCTAAGCAAAGCAAGAGATCCTACGCCTGACGCAGCAGGGGAGTCTACGCTAGGCACAGCTACACTAGGCAACACGGGGTAATAAGAGGGAAGCACACTAGAGTCATCGGCAAACATCACATGCAAGGCTGCTACAATGGCATCCATGTCCAAGTCAAAAATCCGAATGCTACGCCTAAGCAAGCTGTGCCAGTCCGGGAGGTCGGGCGCCGGGCCAAAGCGCTGGCGGAACAGGTCGTCCAGACGACGAAAACAACGAGGAGTGGAATGACCGATCTTACCGCAAACGAAGCCGCGGCGAGGACCGGTCTGGATCTGGTACTGACAGGGCCCGCCTCCAGAACCACCACCCGGTGCACCACCACGCGCACGACCACCACCAGCTCCAGGCCACCCAGGCGGGAGAGCACTCGCCGGCCTCGTCTGCGGCGGCTGCTGCGGCTGCTGCGGAGGCTGCTGCTGCTGCGGCTGCTGCAACGGTGGAGGCAGCGGGGCAGCTGGACCGGGCAGGGTCCCCACGTCCGCACCGGCACCGTACGACCCGCCTCCACCACTACCCCCACCCGCACCCCCGCCACCTCCGCCGCTCCCAACCTTGGGGCGGCGGCCCTTCCCCGAGCGGGACTGCACTGCAGCAGCAGTCTCAGCCACAGCGACAGAGCCGTCGGAGAAGGTACACTGAGCGGGGGCACAACCCTGAAAGATAGGGACCGGTACTGTACCGCTCGCCTGGGCTATGGAGCGGTGACGAGTCTCTATGGCAGTCAGGGTGTCAACAAAGTCGGTGAGGGTGAGAGCAGCAGGGTGGATGCTAAGGAACTGGTCGCGGGCGGCGGCAAGGCGGTCACGGAGGCGGGTGGCAAGGAGGTAGAGGGTAGAGGTCATGGGAGGCTGGTGGACTCTAAGCTGTGCATCAGTGCAGGCAGCGCGCCAGGCCTCATCTATCGAGCGCAGGTGGGCAGCGAGGTCAGAGACAGTGGGGAAGGACGCCAGGTCAGGAAAGAGCAGGGGGAGGATCAGGCGACCCACTGAGGCAGCAGGAGGGGTAGAATAGCGCTTGATGACAGCATCGAGGTAGGCCTGGGCGGTAGTAATGGTTCTATAGCGAGGGCGCTCAAGGGGGGGGAGGGCATTGCTAATGGCGAGCTGAGCAAGGGCATCGCGGGAAAGCCAGACAGAGCGGGCAAGGGCAGCGGCGGCAGTGGACTCGCGCTCAGCGGGCGTGGGATCAGCAGGCAGCACAGCAGGGGGGTCAGGGCAGGGGAGCATACCGTCTAGGTGTGCAGAAAGCGGGTGGCCGTCCTGCCGCTGACCAGTGAGGTGGCAGCGAAGGTCAGCCAACCACGCCTCGAACTCCAGAGGCTGACCCTCAGCATCAAAACGAAGCTCAGCAGCCATGAGGGGCAGTGGAGGACAGTGGAGTGCGGTGTAGTGCTGTGCAGTGCGGTGCAGGGCGGTGCAGTGCGGTCCAGTGCGGTTCAGTGCGGTGCAGTGCGGTCAGTGCGGTGCAGGAAAGTGCAGGAGGGTGCAAAGTGGTGCGGGGAACGGGGGACAGTACCAGGAAGTATGGAGGGCCGGGGCAGGCGCGACGGGGCCGGGCAGGCGCGACGGGGCCGGGCAGGCACGTCGAGGCCGGGCAGGCGCGACGGGGCCGGGCAGGCGCGACGAGGGGCCGGGCGGCTGCGACGGGGCCGGGCGGCAGCGACGAGGCCGGGCGGCTGCGACGGGGCCGGGCGGCTGCGACGGGGCCGGGCGGCTGCGACGGGGCCGGGCGGCAGCGACAAGGCCGGGCGGCAGCTATGAGGCCGGGCGGCAGCGACAGGGCCGGGCGGCAGCTACGAGGCCGGGCGGCAGCGACAGGGCCGGGCGGCAGCGACGGGGCCGGGCAGGACACAGCAGGGCCGGGCGGGGGCGACGGGGCCGGGCGGGCGCGACGGGGCCGGGCAGGTGCGACAGGGGCCGGGCAGCTGCGACAGGGGCAGGGCGGGCGCCACGGGGCCGAGAGGCCGCGACAGGGCCGAGCTGGGGCGACGGGGCCGAGCAGGGGCGACGGGGCCGAGCAGGGGCGACGGGGCCCAGGAGGGTGGATACGGGGCCCAGGGAGGAGCGCGGCAGGGCCCAGGAGGGGCGCAACAGGCCCAGGAGGGGCGCTACGGGCCCAGGAGGGGCGCAATGGGGGCCCAGGAGGGGCGCGGCGGGGCCCAGGAGGGGCGCAATGGGGGCCCAGGAGGGGCGCTACGGACCCAGGAGGGGCACTACGGGCCTAGGAGGGGCGCGACGGGGCCTGGGAGGGGCACGACGGGGCCCAGGAGGGGCGCTACAGGGCCCAGGGAGGGCGCGACGGGTCCCAGTAGGGGCGCTACGGAGCCCAGGAGGGGCGCGACGGGGCCTGGGAGGGGCGTTACGAAGCCCAGGAGGGGCGCTACGAAGCCCAGGAGGGGCGCGACGAGGCCCAGGAGGGGCGCTACGGGGCGCTACGGGGCCTGTGAGGAGCGCGACGGGGCCCAGGAGGGGCGCTAAGGGGCGGAACGGGGCCCTGGAGGGGCGCTACGGGGCCCAGGAGGGGCGCGAAGGGGCGCGACGGGGCCCTGGAGGGGCGCTACGGGGCCTAGGAGGGGCGCTAGGGGGCGCGACGGGGCCCTGGAGGGGCGCTACAGAGCCCTGGAGGGGCGCGACGGGGGCCTGGAGGGGCGTTACGAAGCCCTGGAAGGGGGGCGCGACGGGGCCTGGAGGGGCGCTACGAGGCCCTGGAAGGGGCGCGACGGGGCTAGGGGGAGGGGTCGCGACTGGGCTCAGGAGGGGCGAGGAGAGGCTAGGAGACGCGACGGGAGGAGCGGAAGCGGTAGGTGGGGGGGGGGGGGGGGGGGGGTCGAAACCTACTCGTGATACCATATTAAACCTAGAATTGAATAATGTGAGAGAGAGAGTACACAAACATATACCTAAATGTTGTACTCTCTAGAAGGTGACCCTATACAGTCTATACAAACATGATAACTACACATGTTTGACACTTTATCACCCAACTTTTGATGGAATAGCGTCAAAATTATTAATGACTTCGACCGTCATCCAAAAGAACAGGGATACTACTAACTTCAGTCGACTGCACAAGTTTGGTCAGAGGCAACCAGATGCTGTGGCACAGCAAGATAAATAAGCTCTTCGCAGTGCTATTGGTGCTCATCAGTGGTTTCAGCTCCTTCCTCTCCCTCTGCGTTTTGAAACACCCATAACAAGATCCAAGCCATGCCATAAAGGGTAACAGTAGTAAGACACAATTGACTCCATACAGAGTAAGTTGTACATACATACAGTGGGTGGCATTTGGAAAAAATCAGGGTAAGCGGATGTGAAATCATGCTGACTGTCAACATGATGGCAGATGCAGAGAAGGGGGAGGCAGAGGTACAATGATGGAAGGTCTGATGCATCGCGTGTGGTTGGTGAGGCACGTGTATGTGTGTGCGCGTGTGCAAATGCATGTGTGAGTGTGACGGTGAGAGGGAGATTTTGTGTGTGTGTGTGTGTGTGTGTGTGTGTGTGTGTGTGTGTGTGTGTGTGTGTGTGTGTGTGTGTGTGTGTGTGTGTGTGTGTGTGTGCGTGCGTGCATGCGTGTGTGAAAGACAAAGGGTGAGAGCAGAGAAAGTGGGAGGGGAGGATACAGAGAATGGAGCAGAAGGGTCATAATTTAACTACCATGATCCTTGTGGGCTTCAACATCCTTGGGCGACGTCAGCGGTCTCTGCTCCTCCCTTTTTGACGAACCTCCTCCTCCACCACCACCTCGGAAATTTTGTTTCACTGTAGATTGCTGATACATCACTCCGCCAACGATTGTAATGAACAGGCAGAGCACTCCAAACGGGGATGCGTGCTTGTCCCATATCATGACGTTGATCACTACAGTCAGCAGCTTGTTGGTCACACCGAGAACAGTGAACGCCGTGGCTGAAATCGCTTTTCTGCAGGCGAAACCGAAGAAGCTTATAGCGAGGCCGAACGCACAGGACAGCAGCACGGGGAACACGATCCCGAATTCCCACGTGGCCGTGCTCGCGGCTTTAATCGTCTCCCGGAATTCTCCCGTGATCATCCAGAAAACGGGAGCCATGAGGAGTGAGAGGAAGTTGTTGTAGAGGACGAAACCCCAGGTGTTGAGACCCAAGCTGGTGACTATATGCTTGATGTACACCATCTCGAATGTGATTGTAAAGAGGTAAGCGAAGGCCCAGGTGTACGCTCGGACGGTGTACTGGCTGTCTGTGAACACGTAGCCCACTGCTCCCACTAGAATCACAACCAGCGATCCGAGAGTGTAAGGCCCCGGCCATGGCTGCTTCCGAAATAGATAATCCGCGAACGCGACGAGGAGAGGCGTGGAGGAGCGGAAGATGATGAACGTGTCGACGTTGGCGTAGCGAAGCAGCGAGGTGTTGGTGAAAATCGCCATGTAGAAGACGAAAGCGGCCGGAATGAACTTCTTGATCATGTCCCATCGGATCGGATCGTGGACTAGGAGTTTAAATTGGCCTGACGAGATGACGGCGACGACGCAGGTGAGGTATTGGAGAGAGGTTAGGAGGCTCGGGTAAGGGAACACGCCGATGGCGAATTTGTTGATTATAGCGAGGAGGCTGGAGCACAGAGCGTAGCCGACGGCTAGCGGGAGAGCGGTCAGGTCGCCTAGATTGATGTTGACGCCGAATAGCTTGACGCTCGTGTTCTCCTTGTACCACGGAGCCATGCTGACGTGTCAACAGTTGATCAGTTGACGAATTACTGGCTGATCGACGGGTGAGAGACTAGAATCTAGCGGCACTAGCATGAGTGGGATCTAGAATGGCTGCGCATTACTGAAGGTTGAGAAACCTTCATAAATTACGTGACGGATGGTAGAACAATTCAACCTTCAGACGTAAATATCCGACGCGCAACCTTCAGGAAACCTGCAGCTGCCGCTCCTGAGCCGTCTAGACAATGGGGTGGAATTGCTGGTGACAGTGGGCGATGGCAAGTGATCTGGGAATGGCTCTTCAGGGCAGTGGCTTGGGTGATGTGTTTGGTTTGGTGGCGTCGTGGTCGGTGAACAACACGGGCTGGGCTGCTGGGGGGCAAGGGAGCACGTCTCCGTCACAAGAGACCCCGATTGCACCTTCAATCAGCCGTCTCATGGCTCATCATCGCGTATTCGCCCACTAGTTGTGCATCACATTACGCAACCCACACAGCATCCTTGGTATATGAAAACATTGCATAACCAAAATTTGTGCTTACTGGCCTTGAATTCATTACCCACATATCATTTTCCCAATTGAAGGAAAATGAAAAGGTCTGGTTCAAACGATATGTTTATTTGGAAACAACTATCCTCGCCAGCTTCAGTTACGGAGCAAACCTTACTAAAAAGGGAGGGAGACATTGTGAAATTGTGATCCAAAGCTCAGCAAACCACCCTTGAAGTTGATGTCAAAGAGAAGAACATGAGCTGCGAGCAAGCCATTCTAGGACTAGGAAGTACAGGACCTCTCCCTTGTTGCTGGCTCGTGAGTTAGACCGCCGCCAATTTCGCCTGCATTTACTCCAGTAAAATCTAAGAAAATGGCGGTCGACTCGCAGGAAGCTATCCGCGTGGCGTTCCTTCTCGAGCCTGGTCACGGCTTCAGCGGTACCGATGGTTTCGATTATCTTGGGGCCCGACGGTTTCTCCTGAAGGCTAAGGCTCAAGACGGGACACTCCACCGACAAGTAGGTGATCCCAGTGCTGCCTAGCGATGGCCTTTCACTACCCGTGATCCGTACGGTAATGTTTCAAGGACAGATGTACGATATGGCCCGCGTATTGTCTAGCTTAGCATCTAGCGTCGTGTTTATCACAGTGTCTTGCTTAGCAACTAGCGTCGCTTTGGCCGTTTGGTATATGCAAAGAAGGAATCGGCATCGACGGTTGTGTCGTACGTTTCTTTTGCGTCAGAAAAAGTCACCTGATTACGTGGTCGACGTGGGTAGTTGAGGTATGCTCCTCCCTGCACCTCCAAATTGTCATTTAACATGTTAAAATTCCAACAAGCGGTTAACTTGTTACTTCGAGCAGCGTGTTACTTCGAGCAACATGTTACCCACATTCGTCTCTGCACCTCGTTACTGTCACTAAGCAGTGACCACCATAGGTTCTGCACCTCGATATTGTCATTGCATGCACGGAGCGAAACTTGTGTCTTTCCCCGTAACAATTCTAGCAGCCGGCCCAGCACAACACTGGCAAACGCTACTGTTTGCATGCACGATAGCTCTCAGTGGGGCGTTATAGACTTCTCGCCTTCCTACTTCGCTTTCTCCTCTCCACCCTCCGTTTCCCCCGGGTCCTCCTCTCCACCCTCCTTTTCCCCCGGGTCCTCCTCTCCACCCTCCTTTTCCCCCGGGTCCTCCTCTCCACCCTCGTGTCATTGACTTCCTCCTCTCCTTTCCACCTCTCCCCTTCGTTTCCTCCCTCTTTCCCTCATAAACCAGTCCTTTCCTTCGTTTTTTCTTCTCGGTTCCCTCCCCTCGCACTCCCCCCTTACATCGCAGCACTGGCAGCACGTGTCAGGAGTTGGCTATGCCGATTTCCGCGCCTTCCTTCGCGCTCAGCGAGACACGTGGCGACGGGAGCGAGAGGGGGAGCGAGACGGGGAGCGAGAGGCGAGCAGAGAGGAGGAGCGAAGCGCAGCAGCTGCAGCGCCTTATGCCGACGCGGCACCGTCATCTCATTCCGAAGCTGTTGCAGCAGGGCAGAAGGATCAGGGGGAGGTCGACGTGGGGGAGGCTGGTACTGGGGAGGTTGTTGAGCGCAAGGACAGTCTGCAGGAGGTTGTGGGGATGGTGAAGATTCAGGCAGAAGGGATGATATCGGTAGCTTACCGTGAAGACCAAGTAGAAGGAGGAGAAGAAGGAAAAGGAGAGGGAGGAGAAGGGCAGTCAAAGGGGCCTGTAGCGTCTGCCACCGCAATGGCAGAGGGTACGATTGCATCTGATGCTGATGCTTCAACGCATGATGTCCCTGGTGTCGGTGGTACTGGCTCTGTTGCTGCTGCTCCCAGTGCTGCAGCAGATACATTCAACCGCACCGAAGCGGCTCTTCCGTCTGCCACCAGCAGCAGCAGCAGCTTTGACTCCGTAGCTGCTGCTGTTGCTGCAGCTCTTGGAAACGCAGCACCTGTGCCGTTTACCTCAGAATCTGCTCCCACTGTTTCTGCTGTTCCCAGCACTGCTGCAGATACGTTCAACTGCTCTGACGGCAGCACCAAGGGTGACGCTCCTCCGTCTGCCAGCAGCAGCGGTGTTGATTCCATAGCTGCTGCAGTTGCAGCAGCACTTGGTAAGGCAGAACCTGCAGTTGCAACAGCCTCTGAAGCCGCTCCTGCTGCTGATGGGCATGGGTCCGAGGATGCCGATTCTAGGCGTACTGCTGATGCTGATTCTAGGCGTGCTGCTGGTGCTGATTCTAGGCGTGTTGCTGCTGCTGATTCTGGCCGTGCTGCAAGCAGAGAGGGGCTCGAGGGCGGTGGGGCGCAGAGGGGAAGTGAAGGTGAGGAGGTGGCGATCAGAGTGAGCGCAGCCAGTGGTGCGAGTGCTGGCGGTGAGGAGAGTGACGGTGAAAGAGCGGCGGAGGGAGGTGGGAAAGGAGAAGCAGCAGCAGCAGGAGCAGCAGCAGCAGCAGCATTAGACAGTAAGCAGCAAGACAGCAAGCAGCCGTCCCCTCCCTCCCCTCCCCCGCTTCCTGCTGGCTTCTCCTCCTCCATCTGCAGCGTTCCCCCAGAAGCTTCTAGAAACGTTCTGCCTCCCCCTCCCCCGCGCTCGGGTTCTGTTGGGTCAGCCGACTCGAGTGGGAAGGCGGGGGGAGCGGGGGCAGAGGGGAAGAAGGGGGCGAGGAGAGGGAGTGAAGGGGCAGCAGGGAGAGAGGGGTCTGCAGCAGGGAGGCTGTTAGAGAGGAGGAAATCGATAGGGGAGACGGCGGGGTCAGGAGGGAAGGGGGGTGTGGAGACGGGGCCGCTGGTGTGCATGAGTGCTGTGTTCGATGACTGCCTCGCTTCAGGTGTGTACAGTCTGCCTTGCTTTTTAGCGCCACAAACTTAGTGGATACGGGAGGGAAGGGGGGTGGGGAGATGGGTGGGGCCGCTGGCGCACATGAGTGCTGTGTTCGATGACTGCCTCGCTTCAGGTGTGTACATACGTCTAATCCGCCTCGCTCATAAAGCGCCTCTAATTCAGTGAGTACGGGAGGGAAGTTGGACGTGGAGCGGGCCCTTTGGTGCGCATGTGTGCCGAGTTCGATGACTGCCTCGCATCATGTGTGTGCAATCTGCTTCAGGCGCCTCAAACCCAGCAGGTACGGGAGGGGAGATGTGGAGATCAGCCCTTTGATAAACGCATGTGTGCCGCATTCCATGACTGCCTTACCTCAGGCGTGTCTAGTCCGCCTCAGTTGCCTCAAAACTAGTGGCTGCGGGAGGGGGAGGTGTGGAGATGGGTCCTTTGGGGTGCGTGTGTGCTGTGTTCGGTGGCTGCCATGCCGTTTGCAGCAGAAGGCCATAAAAGTGAACACTGACCCTACCGAAAGGCTCCAATTCATTTGTCGCTTCGCAAGCTCCCAAGTCACTCCCAAGGCATGTCCTGACTCGCGCCCTTCCACTCCCTCTCTTCCCTCCCAGTGAACAAGGTCCATTTTTCTCACCACCACCCCGACCTGCTTGCTTGCATACGGTGCTGCGGACGGCTCGTTTCGATTGTGCCACGTGCCCTGCTGTGGGGGCTGGTTGGATGGCGTGGGTGTCTCCCAAATGCCCCTATTTTGAGTGAACAAGGCGCAGACCGTCAGGTTGCTTGCCGGCCCCGCCTGTGCCACATGCCCTGCAACCAAGGGGCTGGTTGGATGGATGGCTTGTCTGTGTGTCCCCAACGCTTAAATTTCCTCCCACCCCTCACCACCCACGTCTTCATTCCTCCAGTAAACAAGGTTCAGTTTTCCCGTCATCACCCCGACCTGCTGGCATACGGTGCAGCTGACGGTACATTCCGGCTGTGCTACGTGCCCTGCAACACGGGGGGGAGCAAGGGAGGAGGTGCAGGGGGGAAGAAGGGGGCTTTGGGTGTGGCGCGGGTGAAGCACGAGCTCAAAGGCCACACCAAGGAGGTCACAGGTGAGAAGTGAGGAAGGGCGCGCTGTGTTACGTTACATGCCCCGCAGCCGGGAAGAAAGTAACGGAGGAGGTGCAGGGGGGAAGAAGGGGGGTTTAGGTGTGGCGCGGGTGAAGCACGAGCTCAAAGGCCACACCAAGGAGGTCACAAGTGAGAAGCGGGGTGGTATGTGCGGTGCAGCATATGTGGGGAAGCAAGGGAGGAGGTGCAGTGGGGAAGTCACTGGAGCTGAAGGTGCAGACCAATGACGTCACACACAGGTGAGAAGCCAGGTCAAGGAGGATGGTTGGTGCCAAAGGGTCAGGCCTTTGCTATGTGCATCAAAGTATGGGGGGGGGCGGACCCATAGTTAGAGGCAATGGAGGAGGCATATGAGGGGGAAGGAAGCGGGCTCTGAGCGTGGCTCAAGTGAAGCACAAGCTCCAGGGTCATAGCAGACCAATTTCGATTTGACCTCTTTCTGTGTTCATTCCACGTGGCAGATTTCGATTGGTCCACGGACGACGACTACCTGTGCTCGTCGTCGGCCGACAAGAGTGTGCGCGTGTGGGACGTGGGGACGGGGCAGTGCCTGCGCATCATCTACACGCTCATTCCCCAGACGTGCATCATCTTCCACCCGGTAATGACTCGCACATGTGTATAGTGACTTGTGTAGCGACATGCACCCCCCTCATACATGTCAGCGTCATGTAGTGTCTGCGCTTTATTCACTCGCTCATTCTCTTCCACACTTCCACCAGGTAAGGGCTCTCAAACGTTCACAGTCTCACAGATTCTTGTTATCAGCATCGTCTAGGCCTAGTAACGGCTGACAGTTTTGAATTCTCATCTTTTGAGTCGACTCAATATCAGCATCGACTAGGCCCAGTAACGGCTAACAGTTTTGAATTCTCATCAACTACAGGCTCAGGCAGGGTGGTGAGCCGAGTCCTTCTTCCCCTGCTTCCTTCCCTCCCACCCCCCACCTCCCTCCACATCCCCCCCCCAGCAAAACAACAACTTCCTGGTGGTGGCGATCAGCAAGAAGGAGCTGACGGTGATGCACTTCAGCACCGGCAGGGTGGTGAGCCGCGGTGTGTCCACCAGCATGCCTTTATTCCCTCTCCCTCCGTCTAACCTACCTTCCACCCCCCCACCCCCCCCCCCCCCCCCCAAGCAGAACAACAACTTTCTGGTGGTGGCGACCAGCAAGAAAGAGCTCACAGTGATGAACTTCAGCACCGGCAGGGTGGTGAGCCGCGTTGCATGGACAGCAACGTCACCACTCTGGTCGCCGTCAGCAACTTTCGCCCCCTCTTCTCCCCTCACTCTCTCCCCCCCCCCCCCCTTCCTTCCCCTCTCCCCAGCAAAACAACAACTTCCTGGTGGTGGCCAACAGCAAGAAGGAACTAACCGTTATGAACTTCAGCACGGGTCGGGTGGTGAGCCGAGTCGCAATGGACAGCAACGTCACCGCTCTGGTCGCTGACAGAACCACCGCAGCAGCCGCTGCTACCAGCACCAGCAGCAGCGGCAGCAGCGGAGGGGGGTCTGGGAGCAAAACAGCGGCAGGTACTGCTAGCAGGACAGCAGCAGCAGCTGCCGGCAGTGCGGCCGAGGTTGACAGTGTGGTGTTTGTGGGCGACAGCGAGGGCGCCATCCACAGCTTCACTGTGGACAAGCAGTCCGGCTCGCTGCAGAGGCGCCACCGGACCACCGCTGGGGTCGTGCACCCGGCACCCGTGGCATCCTTACATTTTAGCCCCACTTCTGTGCTTGCTAACGGCCCTGTGCTTCTGGCATGCAGCAAAGACGGCTGCGTGCGATTCTACACGTGAGTTTGGCGTTGCGACGAGACCGTAGCCTTAGGGTGGTGAGTATGCGTGGGAGGTACACGTGAGACAGTGTAGTGTTTGTGGGCGACAGCGAGGGCGCCATCCACAGGTTCACGGTGGACAAGCAGTTTGGCGCGCTGCAGAGGCGCCACCGGACTTCCGCTGGGGTGGTGCACCCGGCACCTGTGGCTTCGTTCCACTTTAGCCCCACTTCTGTGCTTGCTAACGGCCCGGTGCTGTTAGCCTGCAGCAAGGACGGCTGCGTGCGCTTCTACACGTGAGTATGGCATTTAGGGCCGAACGCCTGTTCTGCTGGGGTGGTGCACCTGGCGCCCGTGGGGTCGCTGCACTTCAGCCCCACTTCTGTGCTCGCCACTGGGCCCGTGCTGCTGGCATGCAGCAAGGACGGCTGCGTGCGATTCTGCACGTGAGTACTGCAAACGACTCACCCAACTCTCCTCTCCCCCCGTGTACACACAAGACAAGTCTGTGCCCAATTCGCCTCATTCCTTGTCCGTTCTCACACTCCTGTTCCTCTTCTGTTTCTCCCTCATCACCCCACCAGCACGGCTCTGGAGCTCAACGGCTATCTCTTCCTAAAGATCTCGCTGCAGCTCTCCTCTCGAGCCACCAACATGAATGCCGCCTTCTGCCCTCCCCTTGGGCCCTCCGAGTCTGGGGAATACATCGGTACGTTTTGAGTCGTCTCAAAAAGCACCTCTGGGCCAGGAGAAAGGGATACATGGGTAAGTTTGTGGTGGAGCAAAAGTACATCATCTGTGAGGAGCGTGCTAGCTGGTACATGCGGAGGTGATTTTTTAGTCGACTCAAAATACATCTGAGGAGCACGCAAGCTAGCTAGCTAGCTGGTCCATTCGGTTTCGTGGCCGTTGTTGCCCTCCCTCCTTTCATCCTGCTTCTCCCGGCCACGCTGGCACAGCCCCTTTCCTAGTCTTCTTGCTACCTGTCGATGCGGCCCTCTTGCCAGCTCATGCAGTTGTGCTTCATACCCCCTGCAGTTGTACCTGTTCTATTGCATCATACCCCTTGCAGTGACGGGCAATGCTGGCCTCATAGGTGGTCAGCAATGCCAACCACCACATGTGCTTCTGTGACGTCATGGACTCTCGCTGTGCTGGTTGCCCCTCAACCCCTTTTCCCCTCCCTCTTACCCCCCATCTCCTCTTCACATCCATGTCGTGACGGGCAATGCTGACCACCACGTCCACTGTGATTTCATGAAGCCACCGCAGTCCGCTGGTTGCCCCACACCCCCCCTTACTCTCCCGTTTTTCCCCCATGCCCAACAGGGAATTTCCATGTGGATGTGGGAATTTCCATGTGGATGTGGGAATTTCCATGTGAATGTGGGAATTTCCATGTGGATGTGGCACGACATTTCCATGTGGATGTGGGAATTTCCATGTGGATGTGGGAATTTCCATGTGGATGTGGGAATTTCCATGTGGATGCGACATTTCCCCGATGCCACATCCATCCAGTGACAGGAAATGCCGACCACCACATGTACTTTTATGAAATGCCGACCACCACATGTACTTTTATGACTCCATGAAGGCTCGCAGCCCTCTAGTTGTGCCTCACCTCTCTTTCCTCTTCCACTTTCTCCGTCCCCTCCCCCCAACGCCCCCTCTCCCCTCTCATCCTTAGCAGTGACAGGAAATGCCGACCACCACATGTACTTTTATGAAATGCCGACCACCACATGTACTTTTATGACTCCATGAAGCCTCGCAGCCCTCTAGTTGTGCCTCACCCCCTGTCTGTCCCTCTCCCACTTTTCCCCTGCGCCCTCTGCAGTGACGGGTAATGCCGACCACCATGTGTACTTTTACGATTTCATGAAGCCTCGTAGCCCGCTGGTCGCGCGCGTGCCGGTGAGTGTAACAGCCGTGCGCAGTGAGTCTTAGCCGCATGGGATATCGTCAGTTTGAAGGCCTTCAATGCCGGCATTTTCCTTTGTTACGACGCTCCGAGTTTCCTGCTGCTGGATCTTCAAAAGCCTTATGAGATTGCACCTCAGTAACACTAAGATTGCAGGCTCGCCTACGTTTACCCCTCCACCTCCGCCCCCTGCTTCACCCCCCATCTCCCCCATATCCCCTCTCTCTCTCGGTCTCTCCCTCAGGGGCACAAGGCCATGGTGGTGGATGTGAGTTGGACAACGCCAACTCTGTGCTTGCCTCATGTGACAGTGATAGCTTGATCATGCCCATGGCTCTCTCTTCGCCCTCCCCATTCCCCCCCTTCCCCATTCCCCCCTCTCCCCGTCTCTCCCCACCCTCTCCCCCTCTTCCCCTCAGGGGCACAAGGCCATGGTGGCGGATGTGAGTTGGAACAACGCCAACACAGTGCTTGCATCCTGCGACTGCGAAGACGTGATAATGCCTACGATTCTCTCTTTGCCCTCCCTTTCTCCCTCCCCCTTTCCCCTTCCCCCCTCCCTCCTACCCTCTCCCCTCTCCACTCTCCTCTCTCAATGCCCCACTCCCCACTCCCCACTCCCTTCTCTCTCTCCCAGGGACACAAGGCCATGGTGGTGGATGTGAGTTGGAACAACACCAACACAGTGCTTGCATCCTGCGACTGCGATGGAGTTGTGGCACTCTGGCAACGAGCATAGCTAGTCACATCCAACATCGTTTCATGTTACAGTAGTGTTGTTACCAGCACAACAGCACAACCATCGTGCACGTAGTAATGCCGGCAGCAAACCTTGAAAACAAACTGTTCTACAGTAAATGCATAGCTGAAGTTACCTGCAAGTTGGGTTGCAGCAGGTCCAGTAAACCCTAATCCTGAAACCCTAAAACTTTATGTGCCGGTACTACAGTCTGTGTCTCAGAGTTGCCTTGCCACAGTGCAAGACCATCACAGCAGCCAGGGCGTAACCTAAGCACGCCCCTGCAGCTCCTTCCTCCCCTCCTTGCTCTCCCTCCCCTGCTTCTGCTCCTGCACTTGCATCCGCTTCTCCCTCCTGTCCCCCTTCCTCTTTGTGCCCCCCCACTCCACCAACACTCGCTTCGCTCCCCTTGACCATCACCACCACAACATACTTTAACTGCAGCGACACTCGCTTCGCCCCCAAAGTCTCCATCTTAGAGTAGGTAAGCCCAGACAGCTCTCGCTTTCTTCGACCCTTCCAGCCCCTTCCTCTCCTCCTTGCACCCCCTCCCCTTCCGCTGCCACTGCCCCCGCTGCTAGACCTTCTTTTCCTCCTCCTGTCGTCTCTTGCACCCCCCCTGCTCCCCCCACGCCCGCCTTACTGCCCTGCACCGTACCCACCACATCGTACGTGAACTGCAGCAAAGATTTCCAGTCTCTGAAAGCCTCCATCTCAGAGTAAGCTCTCACTTTCCCCATCAGCTCTCACTTCCCTTCACCACTCCAGCCCCTTCCTCCCCTGCTTGCGCCCCCTCCCCTTCCACTCCTGCCGCTCCCGTTGCCACATCTTCTTTTCCTTCTCTCCCCTCTTCTGCCCCCCCTGCCCCGTCTGCCCCCCCTGCCCCCCCCACGCTTGCCTCGCTCCCCTGCACTGTGCCCACCACATCGTATTTGAACTGCAGCGACGACTCCCAGTCCCTTAGAGTCTCCATCTCCGAGTAAGTCAGCCCCGTCAGGTCCGCCACTGCATCCTTTGGGTCTGTTGACATCTTGGCAAACGCCCGGCTCGCTTCCTTGCCTGCAAACACCTCATAGGGGCCTCCAGGGCCGTAGAAGTGCCTGGGGAGATTGGGGATGGGGGGGAGTAAGTCAGCCGCGTCTGGTTGGCCACTGCATCCTTGGGGGCCGTTGACATCCTGGCAAACGCCCGGCTTGCCTCTATCCCAGCAAACACCTCATAGGGGGCTCCAGCGCCGTAGAAGTACCTGGGGTGATTGGGAGGCGGGGAAGGGCGGAGGGAGGGAAGGGAGGTTTGGGGTGTGTGAGGGGAGGGGACGCGTTAGTAAGTAGGTAGATATGAACGTCACTAGGATAAGTGCAAGTGAGAAGGAAAGAACTTACTTCCCGCGAGTCACGTCGTAGATCTTCCCTCGAATGGCCTGAGAAGGTGAAGAGAGGGGAGGGAGGAGAGAACAGACGGGCACGGAATAAGGCGAGGGGTGGATCGGCCATTGGTTATCTGTACAGCGATTCGCATCCGTAGTTAGGCAAGATAAGGCACGATAAGGCAAGATAAGGCACGATAAGGCACGATACGGCACGATAAGGCACGATAAGGCACGATAAGGCACCACACTCGCGAGAAAGGAACAAGGCACTGCGACGCGAGCCAAGATGACGACCACATCGCCTACAAGAGCGCTTTAATTTATCCGGAGACTGCGACAAGCAATCAACTAGGGGCGTCGTTTCACTCACCAAGAGAATCGGTTTCTCTGGGTCGCTGCCGCTGTACTGGCTCAACTCCTCGAGGGTAATTTCCCCTATTTTAATCGGCTCCGGTGGGCCCGGGACTGGCGGCGGGACAGGGGCTGCGCGGTGCTGGACATAAGAAAAGACGGCGTAGATGATTGACGCGATAAGGACTAATAACGAGACTGTTGTTGACGGAGCAAGTCCTGTGGCTTCTTGAACGTACGCCAAGAGGGACTGTAACGGGGAAAGAGTGGTCGACATATCGTGGGGAGGAGAAAGCCCGTGGATTCTGGGAGTAAATATGAAAGAAGCACGAGCGCGACCGAACGGGGAAAAACACGAAACGCAGTCGGCGACTGGCTGTCGCTCGTGAACCGGGTGGCGAGAGGGTTAGGGCGAACGGCGCGAGGAAAGTGCACCGGCGAGGAAATGTTTTTTACTGGTACTAAAATTCTGCTTCGAAACCAAGATAAGGAAGGAGTGAAGGATCCAGATTCTGGAGACGAGGAGGGCAGAATCCAAGGACAGGAGGTGGAGAATGGCGCAAGAAAGAACGGCTTGCGCCGATGATTAATTTGACCGTTGCTTCTCGATATTGCCGCCGAGGCGTGCGAAAGCTCGCGAAGAACAGGGTCTGAATTGTTACTGCACGAAATGTGCTGGATGTAAACTGTAGCGTGTTCCATTTTGGGCTTCTGAATTCCCAAACAGGCCAGGGGAGCTTCGCCTGCAAGAGAAGGCCTCGATGTCGCGAAGAGTCACGAAAAGGCCAGATTTGCGATTCAGCTTCTGTTTCGTGTGTTACAGGGTCATGTTATAGAAGTCTCTGACGGACGAACTCTTGGAACACACCCTGTGGGCGTGGATCCTGTGGTCTTCCAAAAAGCCTCACTGTAACACACAAAAGGCAAACCAACCGTAACGTACCGAACCAAACCCAAGAAACGGGCATTCACCGACCCTGGATCCATCGACAACCCCAGCGCCATCCCTCCAGGTCAAGCAATCGCCCGCACGGGATTCCTCCAGGCAGATTCGCAGCTATGCTGGCTTTTCCAGAGGTTCGGAGTCCTGGACCCCTGCCTCTGTTGCTTTGATGGATCACTACCATCTTACCGTCTTACGTCTTACGTCTTACGTCGTTTGTAAGGTTTTCGGTGTCTGAACCGAGCTTGGAGCGTTTTCAACTCCGTTAGCGAAGACAGCCGGTAGCTGGCTGGGCCAACACGCAGGATCCTCTGGATCCTAAGCCTGGCAGGCTAGCTAGCCTGTTGCGATCAGGCGCAAGGAACCTGACCTGAGGCATTGGCTGGACTCGACTCGAGGCTAGTCGATTACACGTCGATCTTCTAGCGTGCTATCCTCGCGTCGAGTCACCAGGAACCATCCGCGTCGTACGGAGTCGTCAACATTACGCGTCGTATTTAGAGGAGCCGCCATGGCGAGAGGTAGGACCCGGAATCTCCGTAGCTCCGCCGTTGTTTTATTGTTCAAGTCCCATCAACCGCTCGCACCTTTGTTGTTGTTGTTGTTCTATTGTTTAAGTCAGCCGTCACGTCCTGCGTGTACTCTTGAAGCTTCTAACGCGTACGCCTCACGCTTTAGCTCCTGCCATTCGCCACCCACGTTCGTCTCGTCGCCACGCCTCACGGGCGCCGGTTGTTGTCTGCGCTGTCTGCCTTCTGGCCCCCTTTGGTTCCCGTGCAGACCTCCCAGGCCTACTCTACGACGAGAATGTCGAGTCCAGTTAAATCAAATTCACCTCATGCGTTAGTGTCACGTGGTGTCGGTTTCTGCCTGCTTCGTGTCTCCCCCCCCTGCAGACCTCCCAGGCTGCTACTCCGACGAGGATGTCGGGTTGACTTTAATCAAATCCACCTCATGTGCCACGTGGTGTCAGTTCCTGCCTGCCTCGTGTCCCCCTCGTGTCCCCCTCGCAGGCTTCTGCTACGACGAGGCCGCCAACCGCTACTTCCGACTGCCCAGCAATGGCGTCCCGCCTCCTCACGCCTTGTCTCCCGACTCCCTTGCTGGTGTGTGGGTTGTTGTCTACGCCATTATGTCCATCCCATGGTGTGTCCGTGCAGACCTCCCAGGCTTTTACTACGACGAGGCTGCCAACCGCTACTTCCGACTCCCCAGGAATGGCGTCCCGCCCTCCTCGTCTCGGTCAGCAGCAGCGGCCGCAATTGCAGCAGGAGCGGGGGCGAGAGGAGGAGGAAGAGGAAGAAGAGGAGGAGGAGGAGGAGGAGGAGGAGGAGGAGGAGGAGGAGGAGGAAGAGGAGGAAGAGGAGGAGGAGGAAGAGGAGGAGGAGGGGGTGGGGAAAGGTGCGGACGGGAAAGAATCAGCAATGGTAGAGTTCAACTCTTGTCCTCGACATTAGCAGCCTCGGTTGCATCATCCTCCCTACAGTACTGCGACGAGCAACCCGGACGAAACTTTCCGGAAGCTGCCGAAAATGGTCCCACCACCCGCTGCGCTGCCCCAGTGTACCAGCTGCTGCGTGGGAGGGAGACAGGAGCACGCTGCTGCGAGACCTCAGTAGTATCACAATCGCTAAGGTCACAGTCTTCACTAGAGTCACAGTCACAGGCAGCGGAAGTGAGGGGGGGAAAACGAGCGCATCAGCGCCATGCGCACGAGCAGGATGGGTCTCGTCGCCCGTGCATGGTGTGTGAACGGGATGGCCACAGAGGTCATAACAACACATCAGCCCGTTCTAATAACCACGCTGATAGTAGCTCTAGCTTCGGCCCACGTTATCCTCCTCCCCACTGTCCGCGTCTGCAGCACCTGGCGTTGGCTCGGCCGCTGTCCGGACGGGCGTTTGAAGCAGCAGTCCGCGCTACTGGGATGAGGAGCCCCAAGGTGAGGAATTGCAATTCCTGGCTCACCGTCAGGCCCAGGTGGGAAATAGTTGCCTTTGCACCATCAGGCACCATCAGGCACTATCAGGCACCATCAGGCACCATCAGGCACCATCAGGCACCATCAGGCACCATCAGGCACCATCAGGCACCATCAGGCACCATCAGGCACCATCAGGCACCATCAGGCACCATCAGGCACCATCAGGCACCATCAGGCACCATCAGGCACCATCAGGCACCATCAGGCACCATCAGGCACCATCAGGCACCATCAGGCACCATCAGGCACCATCAGGCGCCATCAGGCACCATCAGGCACCATCAGCCACCATCAGGCACCATCAGGCACCATCAGGCACCATCAGGCATGTGTGAGAATTCTCGAAAACACCTCAAGCCATGTGATGCGGCCATGGATGTGACACCACTCCTTCTGAGTCGACTCAAGCCTGACGCCAGGCGACTCAAGCCTGAAATGCTCAAGCAATCTACCTTTGCCGCACGCCCTTGCTGCTTGTGTTGCGCCTGCTGCTGCTTGTGTTGTGCCTGCTGCTGCTTGTGTTGTGCCTGCATGCACTTCGCGCAGGTGTGGCAGTATGAGGCGACTGCAAGGGCATGTGATGCTGCCATGGATGTGGTGCATCTGATGGTGCAAGGGGAGGAGGGCATGCATGCTCGCATGGGCTTGCTGGTGGGCCATCGATCTGGGGATGTCAGGTAAGAAGTTACTATGGTGACAGGCTGTGCGCTAGGTAGACTTAACTTCATTGGCAAACGGATTTTAAGCACCTCAAAGTTGTGTGAATCGTGACAATCGTCATCGATTCTCATCGTTATGGTAAACTTTATTTTATCGGTAGTGGTTTTTTAGTTGCGCCATTCCGAACAAAATGCTGACTCCCCGAAGGATGCTCTTCCCCAGGCCTTCATCACCTCTCGCCCCTCCACCCCACCCCACTCCACTCCCCTTCACTCCACTTCACTCCCCTCCACTCCACTCCCCTCCAATCCACTCCACTCCACTCCTCTCATCAGCACCCAGCGTTAGGTTTTTAAGAATTCAAAAAAGCCTAACACAGTTCAGCACCCACGCCCTGGCTCCTCTCCCCATGCAGAGGTTTTCCCTTGCTCCTCTCTTTCTCTCTCGTGCCATCGTACAACAATCATGTCTGCATCCCTCTTGTTCCCCAACCAGCCTTCTGGAGCTCGAAGCCCCTGAAGACGCCCTTTCCCAGCCGCTCACCCCCTCTCGCCCTCTCTCGCCCTCTATCGCCCTCTCTCGCCCTCTCTCGCCCTCTCTCGCCCTCTCTCGCCCTCTCTCGCCCTCTCTCACCCCCCCCTCCCCCCTCCATGTCTGCATCCCTCCTGTTTCCAACCAGCCTTCTGGACCTCGAAGACCCTGAAGACACTCTTTCCCAGCCGCTCACCCCCTCTCGCCCTGGTACGCAGCAGCACCACACGCCCTGGCTGCTCTCCATGGGCAGCACAATCTCCAGAGCTGGGCAGCACATTGAAACTCTCGAGCTGCCCGGGCCTTCCCCCCCTCCTGCGTTCACGAGCTCACACTCGCTCTTCATGGGGTCCGACATCACTGCTGTTCGCACCCTGCCTTGGGGTACTGCTGGGGGAACGCGTGATGTTGCTGGCAGCCGTGCAGTGTGAGTGAGTGGGTGGGGGACGGGTGACGCTGCTCCTGGGGGAACGTTGACGGCTATGTTTTTTGTTTTTGTTTTTTTTTTTTTTGGAAATGCCTCAAGAATATGAAACTTGCGCTCTTAATTTTTAGGTCTGTCACAACTGCCTTGGGGCATCGTAACGTGGTGGCTTTTGAGGCGATGTAAAAGTCTCGTCCCTTCCCTTCCCTCACAGAATCACTACGCTGGGGACAGGGGGTCAGCAGGCCAGAGTGGTGGTGGCTGCCCTCCACCTCGCAGGTGCTTCTGGTGCAGGCAGAACTGGTGGAGGCTCAGTTGGAGCAGACAGGGGTGCTGGCGGTGCTACTGATGGTGCGGGTGTGACGAGCAGCAGTGGCAGCGTCAGCAGGGGAAGGAGCAGGCAGCGTCTCGGTTGGCGGACAGAGAGGCAGTTTGTGTCCCATGGCAGTGTGTGGGCGTGTGTATGCTCGCCCAGACAGGGGGAGATCGGACTGGGTGAGTGGCAGTAGGAGGAGCAAGAGAGAGGGGGAATCTTGTCACTTGTTATTTTGCCATGCACTCATTCTGTATCGTACCAGGCTCATTCTTGTTTTTCATCGCAGGCTCGCGTTGGCCTGTCTCCCCCTGTGCTTCTCCGGCCTGGCCTCACTGCAAGGCAATAATTCCATTCCATACCATGCCATGCCATGCCGTGCACTGTGCTGTGCTGTCCTTGTGGCGTACCAAACCCGTAACCCGTAACCTTGAACCGCTTTGTACCGCCTAAAAAAACCTCCCACTGCGTCTATGACTGGCTGCAGGCACGTCGCAGGGAGCGCAGCTGCTGGACATGGAGGCACATTCGGAGGCGCCTCAGAAGTGCTTTTTCCTCTGGCAGCTCAGGAATCGTTCTTTTGGCGCATCAAGCCCGTCACACTGTGCTATGTCTGGCTGCAGGCACGTCGCTGGGAGCGCAGCTGCTGAACGTGGAGACGAGACAGGCAGGGGGGAGCCCTTGGTGAGCCAAAAGTCAGAATGTTTGTTTGCTGCAACTCCCTTCCACTGCTTTTCATGTCTGGCTGCAGGCACGTCGCAGGGAGCGCAGCTGCTGAACGTGGAGACGGGGCAACGGACAGCCCTGTGCCACAGCATCAGTGACGTGCTGGCGTTGCAAATCACGGGGGAGGTGAGATGCCGGCGAGGTGGTTTGCAGGGGAGGGGATTTGCGGGGGAGGTGTTTTGAGAGGTGAGAGGCGTCATGATCGAGAAGGATGCATGGAAACTGTAGATCCATGCCGTTTTCCATTGATTATGTCCTCCATTCATCCTCCCATCCATTCGTCTGTCCTCAACCGTTCCTCGTTCCACGTTTCCCCCCCCCCCCCCCCCCCCCCCGTGCACCGCACACAGCAGCATCTATCTAGTTGGTTGGCTTTTGCAATGGAGCCATCAGCAGTATTGACATGCGGGCGCCCTTCCCCCTACCCCCTGCAAGCAGTATTCACCACTCTTGCACGTCATATCCCGCTCTTCCCCCCGAGAGAGTGCTTGCCTTAGAAGCTTCAACCACCACTCTTGTGCACATCATCACATCCCCACCCCGCGCCTTCCCGTTCTTTCCAGGGCAGCGTATACCATGTTTGAGGCGCCTAAAACATCGCCTTCCAATTCTTTCCGGGGCAGCGTATACCTGCCAGGCTTTCGCAACTGGGATTATAACAACCATTAGCACAGGAGCGTGCTTGCCCTGAATGTGTAACCCACCATTTTCGGGCACATAATATCCCCCAAAACATCATATCCTCTGATCGCCTCTCCACCCCGGGCAGCATCTACTTGGCAGGCTTCCGCAACGGAGCCGTCGCAGCCATTGACACACAAGCGCCCCTGTCCACATAGTCCCAGCAGCGACGGTTTCTTGTGCACGCCCTATTCCCCATCCCCGGTTCCCCCTTTATTCCCCTCCACCCCAGGGCAGCATCTACTTGGCTGGCTTCCGCAACGGAGCCATCGCCACCATTGACACTCGAGCACCGTTGCCCACATCGTCCCAGCAGCAAGGGCCACATCAGGGAGTGGCAACTGCCCCTGCCATTAGCAGCTATCAGCAGCGGGGGGGGAGGGCAGGAAGGGAGGGGCAGAGGGGTGGCAAGAGGGGAAAGAGCGGTGGAGCGGAGTGGAATGATTTCTACTGCAGCCACCAGCGGGTGATGCGCATGCCGTCTGCTGTCTCGAGGTATGCGCATGCCGTCTGCTGTCTCGAGGTAAGCTCATTCCTTCTGCTATCTCAGGGTAGGGTTACCTTCTGCTGCCTTCTGCATATTTTCGAGGCGTTGCTTAGCAATTCGGAGGTGTCTAGATTCCGCTCCCTTCGGCCATTGTATAGGTAGTATGTCGGTTCGAAGCACGTGCAGCACGTGGAAGTTGGAACTGAGGGCGCTTATAACGTCAGGTGGTGCTCTTGCAACATATCCACGGCACATGGAGTCCGTGTGATCGCTCACCTTGGTTTTCGTCCTCAGTCCTGTTTCTTGCCGCTGTTCATATGCTCCTGCTCTTGAGGTGTATTTTGAGTCGACTCAAAATACACTCCGGCCTGTTTCTTGCCGCTGTTCATATGCTCCTGCTCTTGAGGTGTATTTTGAGTCGACTCAAAATACACTCCGGCCTGTTTCTTGCCGCTGTTCATATGCTCCTGCTCTTGAGGTGTATTTTGAGTCGACTCAAAATACACTCCGGCCTGTTTCTTGCCGCTGTTCATATGCTCCTGCTCTTGAGGTGTATTTTGAGTCGACTCAAAATACACTCCGGCCTGTTTCTTGCCGCTGTTCATATGCTCCTGCTCTTGAGGTGTATTTTGAGTCGACTCAAAATACACTCCGGCCTGTTTCTTGCCGCTGTTCATATGCTCCTGCTCTTGAGGTGTATTTTGAGTCGACTCAAAATACACTCCGGCCTGTTTCTTGCCGCTGTTCATATGCTCCTGCTCTTGAGGTGTATTTTGAGTCGACTCAAAATACACTCCGGCCTGTTTCTTGCCGCTGTTCATATGCTCCTGCTCTTGAGGTGTATTTTGAGTCGACTCAAAATACACTCCGGCCTGTTTCTTGCCGCTGTTCATATGCTCCTGCTCTTGAGGTGTATTTTGAGTCGACTCAAAATACACTCCGGCCTGTTTCTTGCCGCTGTTCATATGCTCCTGCTCTTGAGGTGTATTTTGAGTCGACTCAAAATACACTCCGGCCTGTTTCTTGCCGCTGTTCATATGCTCCTGCTCTTGAGGTGTATTTTGAGTCGACTCAAAATACACTCCGGCCTGTTTCTTGCCGCTGTTCATATGCTCCTGCTCTTGAGGTGTATTTTGAGTCGACTCAAAATACACTCCGGCCTGTTTCTTGCCGCTGTTCATATGCTCCTGCTCTTGAGGTGTATTTTGAGTCGACTCAAAATACACTCCGGCCTGTTTCTTGCCGCTGTTCATATGCTCCTGCTCTTGAGGTGTATTTTGAGTCGACTCAAAATACACTCCGGCCTGTTTCTTGCCGCTGTTCATATGCTCCTGCTCTTGAGGTTCTCACGCCCGTTCGACAGCACATGCCCCTTGTGAAGCCGTAAATCGTGCAGTTTTCACTGTGCGCGCACGCGCGCGTGTATGTGTGTGTGGGGGGGTATGTGTGGGTATGTGTTTCCTGTCACATTTCCTTGCCCAGCATGCAGGCGATGAAGCAGAGCGAGTTCTATCTCTTTGCGTCCTCATTCGATGGATCCGTGAGTGCCAAACTCTTTGTAGAATCGTGCCAACTTCACTTCTTCCCGATGTTGAATCGTGCAGGACAACTGTGGTCCGATCGTCTCGCCACTTTCACCAAGATCCATGTCTGCTGCTGGTTCAACGAGGCCCACATTCGTTTCGTTTCATCGCCTCTTTCTATACATTATGCGTCGATGCAAGGGCTGTGTGGTTCGACGTTTGCGTCTCTCGCTTCCTTCCACTGAACGTTCATTGCACCTTCCTGCCATGTGTCCCACTCCCAGCTGCAGCTGTTTCGGCGGGGCTTCGAGTCCGCCTGTGCATCTTTTAGGCACCTGAAGCCATCCCTTACTCCGTTTTCTCCCATCCCTTCTATCATAGTTGTTTCAGTGGGACCTTCACTCCACATCAGCACCAGTGCATGCCTCAAACCATGCCTTACCCCATTTCCCTCCGTTTTCTCCCATTCTTTATCGCAGTTGTTTCAGTGGGATCTTCGCTCCACATCAGCACCAGTGCGTCAGCTGCAGGGTCACAGCAACTCGCACCTGCGCCTGCCTCTGCTGCTTGACCCGTCGGAGAACTTTCTTTGTGCACGTGAGTCCATGAAATTAGCCCGGGCATGTTGTGGTGGTGAACTCTTGTACTTGTCTATTTCGTTCTTCTTGCTTATTGTTAGCAAACTTGTTCCGTTATTATTTGATGTTTTGTAGTAACCTTTCTGTGTCCGTGCAGCTGGGGATGACTCCATGGTTCGCATTTGGAGCGTTTCATCCGCTGCATTGTTGTCAATTGCTCAACTCCCAGACAACGCAACCGCTGCCGTTTGGCCAATCACGTGTGGTGAGTGATCGTGATTCTCTTTCTACCCCCTCCCATCAACTTCCCCCCCCTCTTCCCCCCTGCCACACTTCCCATCCTTCGTGTTGCTTCTCATTTCGAACCATCGTGCATCCCCCACTAACAGCATGGCTTTCTTGGCACGGCTTTCCCTTGAATAATTCCTATAAATGCAGGTCTAGGTAGTGGTTTATCTGAGTGTCCAGATGGCCTATTTCTTGGTACATATGAATCTTTGTGTTTCTTGGACGTTTCTGTGTAGTGTGAATGTAAATCAAACATACCTTCAATTTCACAATTCGCGCAACTAATGCCAAATCCGACTAGCATCGAGGAATTTTTTGGCTGACTCGTTCAACCAGCCGACTGCCACGTGGCGTCAGCATGCTGGCATGTACACCAGCCACTCGTTTCCTCCGCCCAGGCCGCAGCGCTCTCAGCCGCGGACCACATTTCAGCCGCACGCGGCATTCCCCACTGCTGTCGTTCCGCCACTTATCGTCGTTCCGCCCACCTGATCCCGCCGCCCTCCGCTGCTTGGCGGCACCTAGGGAATATTGCCAACGGCTCTCTCTCTCTCTCCTGCTGAACTCTAACCTCTGAAATTATGTTTTGTGTTACCAGCTTCAGTTAGAGGAGGGGGGTCAGTCAGAGGCATAATCCATTCACATACCTGTAAAAGCTGACAGTTACCTTGACAGTCTTCATAGGCTGCTTAGGAGCCTGTACAAGCTGAACCGTGGTCGTCGTTCGCCTTAGCACCACTTCACAAGACTTCAGCACGCACTGATCGAGCGCTGAATTTTGTGACACATTGTGCTCGATTCCACATTGTGACCAGGCTTTCGCATTGCACTATCCTGTGAACCATGCTACTAATGAAGTTACGGAACATAATGCTATGGTGAATTCTGGCCGCTCCTTGACGTAAAACCCCAAAGCTTCGTATTACGTTTGCGAAGTGGACTCCGATAACAACAACGCTAGTACGCTTATTTCCTGGGAAAACTTAAGAACCGCTTAACAGCCATGGTGGGGCCACCGCTCGCTGCGTTGCACCATTCAGCCACGTTGAGCGCAGTCAATGTCGCGCCCGTTCGCTCTTCCGAATGCCAGGCGAGAGTAAGCTTTTCGTTAGAATCACAGCTGTCGCTTCTATCGGGAAGCACAAGCGCTCGTTCCAACGTCGCCCCTAAAGACCATCGGCTTCAGCAGCAGCAGCAACAGAGAGTGTTCGCTTCGTCCGCAAGAACGGCGGCGACGGGGCCGGTGGTGGCGACTTTGGCGTCGGAGAACGAGGCGGCGAAGCCAAGCGTGAAACCCGCGAATTCGGGAGACTCCAGGCTTGCGAAGGTAACAGCAATTTCGCGAATCAAGCTTTGCACTCTTCCGGACCAAGGTATAAGAAGGCCATTTGGACAAAAAGAAATTCATATTTCTTCCGTATGGTTTCCCTTCCCCCTTCTCACCTTAGCTTCTTAGCCGATAAGCTGCTGGAGACGACGACTCCTTTCCCTTCAGGAGCTTCCACCCTCTGTCTCTCCCCCACCTCCCGTTCCCCTCTTTTTCCCATCTCTCCCCCCCTCCCCCCCCCCCCCCCCCCCCAGGTCCCCATCGAGCGCATCCGCAACTTCAGCATCATCGCGCACATTGACCACGGCAAGTCGACCCTGGCGGACAAGCTGCTGGAGACGACGGGCACGGTGCAGGCGCGCGAGATGAAGGAGCAGTTCCTCGATAACATGGATCTGGAGCGAGAGAGGGGGATCACGATCAAGCTACAGGTAGGTTAACAGCATCAGGGTACAGGTAGGCAGGCACAAGAAGGCACGCGCACTGACAGGCGCGCGAGATAAAGGAGCAGTTCCTTTCCTGGATAACATGGACCTGGAGAGGGAGCGAGGGTTCAGCATCATATTATCGATAGGTTGAAGAGAACGAGGGGGACATGTGAATGTCCCCTCTGTCCCCTCTGCGCATTGGCTGACAGAGGGGACATTCACATGGCAGGAAGGAGGCAGGAAGGAGGCAGGAAGGAGGCAGGAAGGAGGGTGAAGGGCCACGAGGTGGAAAGCAGCTCTTACGAGAAGAAAACAGCACAATGGCGTGTGTGAATCTGTATCACTGTTGCGTGCGGCGCTCTGCCCTCTCACCCAAGCCTTTTACAAAGAAGCGATGATGCCAAGATAAAGGCCGAAATGACAGCTGCCAGGTGGCAGGCAGTGACTGGCCGGTTGGCCTTGACTGGGTCAACGGTGAAGTCACTGTCTTGCTTTCCCTTGGCTGCCAGCGTGACATGTGCACACAGCGAGCAAAGGTTGATCCTGTTTCCTCTGAGCTTCTGAGTTAAAGGCTGGGGGGGGTGGGGAGAGCTTGGGGGGTGGGATTGGGAGGGGATTGCAGAGAGGGTGCTGTCTTATGCCGCACTGCCTTGCTCTCCCTTGGCTGCCAGCGTGACATGTGCACGCAGCGAGCAAAGGTTGATCCTGTTTCCTCTGAGCTTTTGAGTAAGTGAGGCGATTGCATAAAGGGTATTGTGAGGCGTCAGTGGTTGTTGTCGGTGAGATGGTATGGGGTGGGTGGTTTGCAAGGATCGAACAGAGGAGGGACATGAATTGCTGCCACCTGCCCTTGCCTGTAGCGCCCTCTCCTTCTCCCTCTCTGGCATGGGGGGCATGGGTGCATCTTTTTAGGCGCCTCAACAATGGGTTGCAAGGATCGAAAAGAGGAAGGACATGAATTGCTGCCACCTGCCCCTGCCGGCTGCACCCCCTCTCTCTCTGTGCAGAAGGGGCATGTAGGCAGGGGTGGGGTGAGGCCAGCAGAGAGTATGACGTCCGTTACACTTGATATGAGCAACCTTCCTCGCCGGCGTGGTGTATTGGTTTCTTACCTGTCTCTGTAATCACGGTGCACGAGTTTCTGTTACAAAGCAACACATGGTATGCGCACCTTCGCCGTTCTATGAGCCATGCGTGTTCAGCAAAGCAAATGAATATGTTTACTGGGATTTTTTTTATTTTTTTTGTCCATTGCATCGTTATCTTCAGATAAAGTAATAGTTTTTCCTCCCAGTAGCTCAGCTTCCCTTCCCTAAGTGTTGTCTCTCAAAGTCTGTGGAAGAAGCTATGATGATGACGACTGACTGCATTAGGAGAGTTTTTGAGCCCACTTTGCTCCTCAACTCCCTACACCCGCTAGCCACAACAGCCAGCCTCCCCTAAGCCGCTTTCCTCCTTGCACTCTCCTCCCACCAGTCAACCCCCCCACGTCCGCACCACCCCCTCTGCTCCTCCGTTCCACTTCTGCTGGCAGCGTGACAGACACTTAGCCAAATCTGAAGGCCCTCCTGCTCCTGTCGTCCCTTCGCTCCTGCCCCCCTGCTTTCTCTTCTCAACCCCGGATTCCCCTTCTTTTGCGAGAGTGAAGGAGGGAGATGCAAGGGGGAGGGTTGAGAGGGGTGGGGGGTGGAAGTGGGGGGTTCGAGATGGTTGCAGAGAGGCCTGATGACGTAAACGAGCTGGTCTGAGACGAAGGTTTATCTGAGTCTGGTATTTGCCGCTGGAGGAATCTGAGCACGAGAGCGGGTGGGGTGATGTGGGGGAGGTGTTGTGTGGGGGAGGTTGTGCTAGGGGGAGGCGGTGAGGGGGTTGGCTGCTCTGTGTGTGTGAGGGAGGCTTGCTCGCAAGCTCTGCCTCACGAGAGCTGTGGGTACTGACTGCTGGATGGTGCTGCTGCCCCTGGTGACAGAGTGCAGTGCATTGTCTGCAGATGAAGTAATCCTGCGTCCTCTGAGCTTCTTCCGTATTGTGTTGTGTGTGTTTGGGAGGCCGGCTTGCTTGCAAGCTGCCTTACGGGAGTGGTGCCTTTACTCCGCTGGAAGTGGAGTGGAGGCACTATCCCTCCACTGCCCCCTTCCGAGAGATTTTTGAGATTTCTCAAAAATTGCTTGCAAGCTACCTCACGAGAGTGATAGCTTTGCTCTTGCACAATCTCCCCACTGCCCCCTTCCAAAGCCCCTCCCCTCCCCTTCCAGGCAGCTCGTATGCGGCACGTATTTCGGGTAGACGGCAAGGCCTACTGCCTGAACCTCACTGACATGCCCGGCCATGTGGACTTCAGCTACGAGGTGTCTCTTCCCTAGGTTCATCCCATACCCTCCTTTCCCTCTTCACCCATCCCCCCTATCCGAACCTGCAGGCAGCTCGCATGCGCCACGTGTCACGTGTGGACGGCAAGGCCTACTGCCTGAACCTCATCGACACGCCCGGCCACGTGGACTTCAGCTACGAGGTGTCACGGTCACTAGCTGCATGTGAGGGGGCGCTGCTGGTGGTGGACGCCTCGCAGGGCGTGGAGGCGCAGACGCTGGCCAATGTGTACCTGGCGATTGAGGGGAACCTGGAGATCATTCCGGTGGGTTTGGGGTTTGGGGTTCAGGTGAGTTTGGGGTCTGGGATCCCTAGAGGGGGCGCGGCTGGTGGTGGACGCGTCGCAGGGCGTGGAGGCCCAGACACTTGCCATTGTGTACCTCGCGATAGAAGACAACCTGGAGATCATTCCAGCGGTGAGTTCGGGGTTAAGGGTTCTAGGGGGTTCAGGGTTAAGGGTTCCAGGGGGTTCGGGGTTAAGGATTCCAGGGGGTTCGGGTTTAAGGGTTCCAGGGGGTTCGGGGTTTTGGGTTCGGGCTTGGAGTGGCATGCGGTCTCCAAGAGGGGGCGCTGCTGGTGGTGGACGCGTCCCAAGGCGTGGAGGCACAGGCGCTGGCCAATGTGTACCTCGCGATTGAGGGGAGCGTCGAGATCATTCCAGAGAGATTCTAAGGTTTTGGGGTTGGATGCTTGAGACGCCATTTCTTCACTCGTGTTATCCGTGCTCGTCGTTGTTTGTTATGCTCCTCTTCTTGTCTCACCATCTGCCTCCTTCCCCACGACCCCATGTGCTCAGCAAGATCGACCTGCCAGGAGCGGACCCAGAGAGGGTTAGGGCGGAGGTGGAGGAGGTGGTGGGGCTGGCTGGACCTCCCTTTTATATGTGTTCTGTCTGGTCTATTTGTTCGTGCTTATTGACCTGCCATGGGCGGACCCAGAGAGAGGGTGCGAGCAGAGGTGGAGGAGGTGGTGGGGCTGGATGCTTCAGACGCCATTCCTTCGTTGATTGTTCCGTTCAGCTTCTTACTGACTCTCTCCATCCCGCTTCCCCATGTGCTCAGCAAGATCGATCTGCCAGGAGCGGACCCAGAGAGGGTGCGAGCAGAGGTGGAGGAGGTGGTGGGGCTGGATGCCTCTGACG